ACTAGCTACTACTACTAGCTACTACTACTACTACTACTACTACTACCACTACCACTACTACTACTACTACTACTACTACTACTACTCGTCCTCGTGGCGCGTGTTTCAAAATCCACCCCTCAGGAAGCCGGTGAGCTCAGGCATCCCCTGGCTAGCCAACGTGAGCGACGCAACCGAAGTCTCGATGCACTATCTGCGCCTTGCTCACGGCTGCGACCGCAGCCTGCGACGGTGGCCGTGGAGCTCTGCTGGTCATTACAGCGCAGACCCTGCCTTGCGGATGTCGGTGTCCGGCATGACATCCACCAGGCGGAGGCCGTTCTTCCGCTATCAACATGTCGGAAGATAGTGCCCGCCTGGCGCATATTCTGCACGGCTGCGCGGATGTCGCGGGCCCCACACCTTGTGGTAGTTGTACAGGTCGTTGCCTGCGAGCAGACTCGTGCCTGCACAGACTACCACCACTGCTGTCCCGCGAGGGAGGCGCTCCCCCGGGCCAACGCCGCCGTAAGCTTCTGCCCGATGCCCTCCAAGCCCCCTGGCCCCACGCCGGATGTACCGGCAAGAGGCCAAGGCACCTTCGGGTCACCGTGCCAGCTTTGTCCTTATACACGAGCACAGGATGCTCTGACCTTCGCGATAGCTACGACGCCTGCTGAGGGCTCGACCTTGGTAGTGCGTCCCCTCCGTACCACTTCCACGTCCAGCTGGCCCACTCGCCTCGGAGCCAGAGCCGTCCTGCGCACGTGTGAGTCGCTCACCTCTGCCTTTTGTGCCTTGCACGTACGAATGTACAAACATACTATCGTCCTTGTCGACCACCACGGGGTGGAGTCGCTGACAACGATGGCCGCATCCTGAAACGAGTGTGCTTTTGCCCTCGAGGAATTACGGGACATAGCACTGTCACCAGGCCTCGAGGTGGGCGGCAAGCGCTTCGACCAGGGGCGCGATGCCGTCCAGCGCCAAGCGGCAGCCGTCGGAATGGTGCGAGTTACCTCAGTTGCCGGCAAGATCGAGGACTCGAGGAAACCTTGTTGTGTCCGCGCCTGCGCCTTGGCAGCTCTCGAGGAGCGCAGCCGCCCTCTCGCAGCAGGCGTGCGCCGACTCGCGGATGGCCTGACCAGGGCTGTGTTTCGCGGACGCATGACTTCTCTAAGTGAGTACGGTGGCCGCAGCCTGGCAGATGGCAGCCATGCTGACCTGTCTGCAAATTTTGCGGATTCTTGGCTTCACACATATGTGCAGCTGGGGCCCGGACATAAAAGCGGAGAAGAGCGGGATCAACACGAGCCGTATTTTGCACACGTAACTCGAGATTGCTGAGAGGGCCGCAACAGCAACATGACCGCGCGAGTACTCGCTCCATGCAGTGCACACAAATGGCATGTTCGGACGGTTTGTCAATTTTTCCGTGTCGCTCCGCGCATTGCCTGCTTCAGGAAAATTACAAATGTCACAGTGGATGTGGTGCCAGCTCGGCCCGGTGGCTGTGGCCGCGCTTCTATTTGGAAGACCCGTGCTGGGCTGCAGGCTCCTCGATCGGAACGAAGATTGGGTCGAGACGCTTCCTAAACCCTGAATCCAAAACCCTAAATCCTAAAGCCCAAATCCCAGCCCTAAACCCTAAATCCTAAAACCTAAATCCCAAACCCTAAATCGTTGTTGTGATTACAATGAAAAAAAACGAAATTCCTAGCTATTCAAAAAGACAACTCTGTTCTGCTTAGACTAGGGAAAAAGACCGAACACTCTGGTTCTTTTCAACAAATTTTCTAGAATCGGAAATGATGAGGCGGATCGTTTCCAACAAAGGAAGGATGTAAACTTTGTGCAACCACGAAGCGCCTACAGAGTCGTAGCCCTCTCTAGTTGGCTGCATATACAAATTGGCAAGAACTAATTCACTAGTTTCGCACAACTCGCAGGTATCCCTTGCAAACAGAATATCGCACCCTCTTTGGCAAGGAACAGGGGGGTCTAGGATTGCCTCCGCTGGCTTGGAGACTTGTTGGCTGATGTGGTGTCGGTTTACATCCTAATTGCATGTGGAGGCAAATGTGAAAATGCATGCAATACCACATGCATGTTATGCTCCACGACAACATGCAATTGCTTCAATCTCGTAGATCCGATCTTGTCAAAGTTTTTTGCCATGGCAGAAGATGACGCGGATGTCGCGGAATATGTGCTTTTCAACAAGTCGCTTGGCTTGAGCATGTACACATAGCAGATGCCCATGTGAGCATGCAGGGCGAGCCCGTTTTGCAAACAATGAATGCTGTGAGGCGCGATGCCAAAGTGTACCAGGCAACGTGGGTATTTCAGAACAATCAAAACATTGGGGGCGCAAGGTTTAAACGAGGTAACTACGATGCAATAACAAGGTTCCCGTGTTTCATTTTGCACAAACGTTGATTGCGATTTGCAGGTGCCGCCAGCAACATCAGCCACGGGCCATCGAGCTGCCGATTGGAAGGTCGCCCGCTTCCCGGGCATTCGGAGGAGGGCAAACTGAAAGCACTGCAGGAAGCCATTTGGAGAGGAAATGTTCGGATAGTGGCACATGGCAAAACGATGACTATTCGCACTTTGTTTGCATCAGTTTTGCATCCGTTGTAAAAAACGCGAGGGAACCGCCAACAGATGTATGTGGCAGGTTTGTTGGATGCTGGCTCCGAGACTTTGTTCGCGCAATGTGTCAGCAGCTCAGATGGCTTGTCAGTCGAACATACCGGAGCATCTCCGTTTGCGTCGGTCTTTCAGGCGATGTTAATTGGCATGTTCAGCGGAAAGTTTCGATCACACTTGATGTCTTTTCACTGCATGGGTCAGCTGGGCGTCCGTCCTTGTAGCAAAAGTTGCCGGCTCCCTCATGCGTTTTTGCAGCCAGCATGACACATCATGCGGCTTTTCCTCCACTTCGAGCACGCGTGCTCGCTTCGCGTGCCTCCGTTCGAGCTCCCCATCGCCTCAAGTTGCCGGCGTTTTCCGGCCGTGCGGTCCGCGTCTTGCGTGGGGTGTGCACCTTGCAAACGTGAACCTTCACGCATGCACGACGCATCGAAAGTCGAAGTTGTCGCCAGATGTCGCCAGTATTTTACTGCAATTTGCGAGGTATGTAGGTGGAGCCGGTTAGATGAGGCAACCCGTTTCGGCGACACCCTGGCATAGCATATCTCCAAAGTACAAGCTGCTCCTCGACGATGTGGCGCCGTTTGAGTTTGCTCCGTCGCGTTGAATGTCGTCGCCCGCACACAGGCCTCGCAAGTCGCGCCTGACACGATGGTTCTCTGTCCGCACACCTTGGCGGTTGGCGTTGGGGGCATGTGGGACGCTTGGGCGGAGATAACTGATATGCTCAAGGTTTTGAGCTTGGAAATCTTTTCGCGGCGGTCCTGTATTCGGGGTGCGGCCTACAGAAAAACGAGCAGCTTACAGCGTTGCGAAAGAACCTCAACGTCTTCGCCGCGCCGGAGCGGGCCGAACACTTGCATGCCGTCGTGGGTTGCTATTGCCGTATTGGGCCGCGTGCGCGGACGTGCTGTTGGTGTTGTGCAAAAGCTACACCGAGGCCGCAGACCCCGTTGTTGTGCGAGCTTGCTGGCACGAAGCGGTCTGCCTCGCTACTCCAATGCCCTCCGACCTCGGAACCCCGGACGATGAGCCGTTGAAATCCACCGTTGCACAGCTCGGGTACGTGGGCCAACATGCCGAGCAACAGCAAGAGTCCTGAAAAACAAGCGTTTATAGGGTCAGTATTTACCGCTGGTAATGTCAGCAACTCATATATACTCATATCAACTCATTGCATTACAACGGAGCCTGAAGCTCCAAGCCCGAAATACATTGGGCACGAAACTGATGCGCGGAAGCATCGCTGCAGTACAGTGCATCTTGGACTGGCGGGTATGTACCCTCCACCCACACCTTGCGCGCTTGGAAGTTGTGGTTCTTCCTCCCGTGCGTGCTGCATTGCCCCCAAGCCGGTCATACTCGTCGAGGTTCATTCTTCCAGGGTGACTGGGCATCTTCGCTCCGCCGACCCACCCCCAACATTGCTGATGCCCTGCCACGCCGGGTGGAGCGAACCACCCGCTTAGCACATCTAGGTGCTGTCCGCGGCTCGGCAAGCCGTCACTGCAGAACCCTTCGCCCCATTCACGGAGGCAGCTCGCGGACCCTTCCGGCCAGCTGAGCCGTATACGCTCCCCTACGACATTCTTGAGGCCACTCCAGACGCCCCTTTGTCGCTCGACCGCTCGGCCCTCCGTGCCAGTTGCGCTGGACCCCCGGGGTTGCACTGCAGAAATCCTTTGCTTCGTGTTGGATAAGGATGAGACATCCCAACTCATGTATGTGCAGGTGTCAGCTGATGCGGGCCTCGCGCTGGGCCGCGTCATGCCGCGTCGTCGCCCTCAGCAAGCCGGGCGGGGCACACAAAGCCTGGTATAGTCAGTGACTTCCTGCAATGGCTGGTTGCCAGGACCCTTGCACAGCAGTTCGCCTCCACTTTCGAAGCCATGTGTAACTCCGATCCGTATGTCCTTTCCACACGGGCTGGTGCCGAAGCGCTGGTGCATATATAGATTGCCGACCCAAGTTTGATGCTGTTGCCAGTTGTCGTTAGCAGGGAAGCCATGTTCACGACACTGCGTGCCACGGCTGGTGTCCTACGTGTTCTCCTTTGCTCGTAGGCGTTTTGCCGAAGGGTCGTGCGACTGGGTGGCGAGCAGTGGGACCAGTGGCTCTGCCGCCGCCGCTCCGGGCCCTGCAAATTGAGTTTTTCCAGGGCGAGCAGGTACTGGCATACTTTGACGACACTTGCATCCATGCCCCACCTGCCAAATTCGCTGAGTTGTACGGGCAACTTGAACACCACTTGTGGCAGCATGCACGCCTCTGCTTTAAAAGCTGACAACACAAAGGCGTGGAACTTTGCTGGCATTTTCCATCTGGCGTACTCGCGTTTGCCTCTGATTCCCCGATTTGGGTTGGTGACAAGGCTCTGCCCTTAGCAGAGCGTGGTGTTGTTTTTGCCCGTGGCGTTCCTCTGGGCTGCCGCGAGTTCATCGAGGCCGACCTGCTTGCAGTCCTGCCCCGCCCGCGCGGCCTGCTGGACAACCTCTTTGCACTGCTGCGTGCTGAGGTGCCAACCAAGCCCGAAAATAGATTCGTCCCTTGACTTCAATTGCGGGTTGCAGCTTGATGACTTACCATCGGGCTTCCCTCCGAGACACCGGCGTTGCATCGCCCGCCCTGCTGGAATCGCAGGCTGGGCCTCATGCGGCACGCGCCCTTACCCCGCACCCCACCCTGCCGGACTTCACATTGGTGTCACAAATTTTCCGAGCCATCCCGTACTTCGCTTGCCCCTGCCACAAACCTCTGCCAGATGCCGTTGCCGCGCCGACATTTGGGATGATACTGCATCGAATTTTTTCTGCCCATGGAATGCATAGATACGACCGTAGGTCACGGTCAGAACGGTGAAACAAGCTGTGCGAAATTACAATGTGTGGTGTCACACATCGTGCCACTAAGTACGAAGCGTAATCGCATCACAACGTGTCACATGTCACACGCCGCTGCAACGTGGCAGACTGTAGCAACAAACTGCACATTGTGCACAATCTGTGTTGCTGTGTTGGGTGTTGAGAAGACTTCGCAAACACAAAGCATCTCGGCTCGATGCAGAGAGCGGCCCGCAGTAGTTTGGTTTGGTGCTTTGGCTTTGTGTTTGCGGTTGGGCGGGGCTTTGCTTCAGGAAACGGACCTTGCAGCCGGTAATGCAAGCATGGCCGATGCTGCAGCCTCTGATCCTCTGCTCGATGTTGCTCACGGCAGCAACAAAATCCCTAAACATGCTCGATGGTGGCTGTATGAGGATATTCTTCGATTCCATATCTTTCCGTATGCTATGGAGTATTACCTCACGCTGCTGTCTCCACTGCCCATTTCATCCCGGGTATCGCTGCACAATCTTTATTACATATCGTGGCATGCGCTTCCTCCGATGCTTGTTTGGCAGGATGTATGGGTTTTGCTCCGACCACTGCAGAAGGTTGATTTCATTCGCAGGACCTTTGCACTGGATTGTGAGTTTGGGCTCAGCATGGTGGATTGTGCATATGCAGCGCAGCTGGGAACAACAATGTCCTGGCCTCGGGCTTTGCTTGAGATGGATTAGGCAGCTGTTCCGCAACCTTCGCATAGACATGGTGCGCTCTGTGGTTGGAGCTTATAAGCAAACACAGCAGTAGCATTGGCTTTGGTCGGATGGATGCCTGACTTGCGAGCAGGCCGTCCCAGCCTGTTTGATGCCGCTGATTCTGCTTGCTCTTACGTGGATGTGTGTGATAGGAACAGTCGGTAAACCACTGTGCAGACTTGCTCAGGCTCAAACAACCGTACTGTACTGGAATCTTGCACTATTATTGCATCAATGTCGCACCTGGATGATCTGCCTCACTGCATACGTCGAAACCTGGAACAGGCGAGAACAGATGCGGCTGATACAGGTGACGACAATGATCAGGAACCTGCTGCTGATCGGGAACCTGCTTCTGGCTCTGGGATGCCACGAGATGACGATCACCCTGGACGTGCCAGTAGCTGCTCCAGGAGTCGCTCGCGAGTTAGGCGCAGGGCGAGGCTCAGGCCTAACAATGCTTCCGGTAGTGCACCGGCAGGACCGCCTCCGCCTGTACCGATCCATGGAATTTCTTCTGTCCCTGCTGCTCGTTCTTCAGACTCTGACCTTTCCCAGGGTTCCTTTGATTCGAGCGAGATCATACGGCAAGAAGATCTTCGGAGGCGTGGTGACACCCCGGCCTGGGCAAAAGGAAGCACCTCCCTACGGAGGTCGGTTCTGGCTAGAGATCGCACGGCTCATCCACGGCCTCTGCCGAAGGAGGCCTCGGATGCTGAGGCAGAGGAAGGAGAGGAGGAAGAAGAATCTGATCCGGACCCCTTTGCCACGGACTTCTCCAGACCACCAGACGGCAGAACCAGATGTGAAGTGGAACGTGAGCAGCAAGAGGACGCTGAGGAGGAAGAGGAGGACGGCGACTTCCATACCACGGGGGAGCTTAGAGAAGTTTCTTCGGGTGAACTTAGCCCGGCATCCTGGCCCACGCCTGATTCCGATGATGGCGATTTCGGATTTGGGTTGCAAACGAAGGACTAGATTGGCATCTGCTTTGCAGTTCGCTGCGGGATGCTTTTCAAAGCCTTCTAAAATACCTGACTCTAGAGGTGATTTTACGAGGTCTGCTTGGCAGTTCGCTGCGGGGCCTCTGGCAGTGAAGTTACCTCACCCACAGCCGTCTGCATTTTGCGCAGCTAAACAGCCGGATCACATGCTGGACAGCCATCATCTTTTGCCTGGAGCAAGCTCAGACTTGACAGTGCAGCTGCAGTTTTCGAGTCTGCCCCGGAGTTGCCAGGTTGAGTTCAACGATATCAACCAGAAGACTGGTGCTGATCTTGGCTTGCCTTCTTCCCCTCCTGCAGGCCCCGTCTGTTCTTCACAACGATTTCGTGAGCAGCTGGAGCATTTGAGCCACCCTTGTGATTCATTTCAAGACCGAGCTATGCCGCGTACTACTACAACAGGACGAAAGAGCCGCCTGGGTCCCAATTCCCAGGGTGTCGGGCGTACATTTCTTTTCAGTCTCTCCTTTTTGATACGTTTGATG